GCATTCCTTGCTGGCAGAATACAATCATTACTGCTATCAGCTATAGCCATGGGCAGTAGTCAAACGCTATAAATCCAACATGCTGGTTATACCTAAGAAAATTGACTAATCGACTGGGTACAATCAGCTTGCCCATAAATGGATAGAATCTCGGGCTGTCCCTGCTGAACCAGCTGAGATTCTATCCACCTAGACCAGTGGTGGGCAACCTTTTTTTTCAACTGAGCCAAATCTCGCCAAAACCACGATTGAAATTTATTTTGAGAGCCACATTTTTAAAACTGAAAATACATCCCCCATATAGTAATTCATCCCCCATAGTAATTCATCCCCCATAGTAATTCATCCCCCATATAGTAATTCATCCCCCATAGTAATTCATCCCCTATATAGTAATTCATCCCCCATAGTAATTCATCCCCCATATAGTAATTCATCCCCCATAGTAATTCATCCCCCATAGTAATTCATCCCCCATATAGTAATTCATCCCCCATATAGTAATTCATCCCCCCCATAGTAATTCATCCCCCATATAGTAATTCATCCCCCATAGTAATTCATCCCCCCCTATAGTAATTCATCCCCCATAGTAATTCATCCCCCCCCTATAGTAATTCATTCCCCATATTGTGTCAATTCACTTACCTTTGCTCCGTGCGTTCCTCTCGCCGTGTTCCCGCGCCGTTCCGGTCTTCAGGGCGGACTGTGAGAGGAGAGGAGTTCGTCACGCTGCCCCGCCTACATCCTGACAGCCAATGTTTACCACGCTCCGCGGGCCGGATTAAAAGGTCCGCCGGGCCGTAGTTTGCCCATTGCTGGGCTAGCTGCAGAGTCCTGACTTTTGGGGCGGCCGCCCGAGAGGAGGGAGGGGAGCAGGCGCCCGGCACACAGAAGAGCCGCATTGAAGTGTGTAAAGAGCCACATGTGGCTCGCGAGCCGCGGCTTGCCGACCACTGACCTAGACCAACAGTGTACTTCTGCAGGGATAACAGGATGTATATCTATCTAGAAATATGCAAATAAATGAGTATATAAAAGATGCAGTAAAACAAAAACATCATATTATATCTATAACATTTTCAATTTCAATTATACATTACATTTGTCCCAACATACTTCCCACTGCAAAAATACCAAAATCATTCCAGGAATCTTAAAGTGTTACTACTAAACCCACAACAGTAAAATCAGTCTGTATGTTCAGTAACACATGCTTGCTATACTCACTGTGGAACCTAAGGGGTTAATTCTCCAAACTGTGTAAAAAGGCGGTTTGATCCTGTCTTCTCTGATCCTCCCCTTCTTCTACTGTCCCCATCCACCTGCTTATTGAACAGAGCCTTGGGGGCAAGCTGCACATGCTCAGTTTTGTGCGTATTGCTAGAGAGAGTTTTTTTTTTTCTTGAGAGCGTGCATGTGATCAGCACAAGGCCAATTAGTGCTGTCCAGACAGAGGGTTAGGGGTTATGTAGTCTCATAGGATTGTCAGAGGAGAATAAAAAACTCCTCCTCCTCCTACAAGCTTTAACCAGTGCTCTGCTGGACGCTGATAGAAGTCACAAGACTGCTCTAACTGCTAATGAGAAAAGGTATTTAGCAGTTTATAGTTAATAAAATAATTGCATTTCCATGTTCTGTGTACTGTGGGAAACTAGATATAGTGATTTCAGGGTCCTGGGTTAGGTAACACGTTAAGTTCTGGACTCTACAGTAAAATGTAAAGTGACAATATATACATGTAAACAAGTGCAGTGCTATAGTACTAGGATAAAAAACAATAAATGTGCATCACATGAAAAAATATATCAATATATGTTAAAGCGGAACAGTAAAGTGCATTATTTAAAAAGTGTAGAAAAAATACGCAAATAATATGATATAAATACAACTAATTAATGCATTAAAAACTGAATCGGTAATATGGAACAGCAAAGTGCATAATATAGGAGTGCAAAAAACAGTCAAAACAGTATATTATAAAGTGTCTCATATCACGCATAGATAATGCCCGTGATATGGTATGCAACATAAATAAATATATTACGTAAATAGCAAAATATTATATTTTATAATATAATAGGTAGATAGCCAAATATTATGGATAATCAAAATTAGTATTGTCTGTGATATGGTGTAATCCACATAAGTGTCCGTTGAAATAACAGAGTGCAGCGAACTAAAGTGCTGGATGTGAACGTGATAACAATCACGCAGGGGAATCCACCACTGCTAATGGGTGTACACTCACTGGTAACAGGCATTTCAAGCAACACATCTTGAGGTAGGGGGCAACCAAGAGGTTAGAATGAATTGTCATCTAGGGCTTTAGAATGGACTGTCATCAAGGAAGCCTTTGTCCTGAGAAGAACAGCTCACCACAGGAGCCAGAGAACAGTATATAGTGTAGTAGTTTATTTATTATAAAGAATAACAGCAATTCCAGGTAGAAACATAAATAAAACAGTATCAAATACCAAGATGGCTACCGCTCCGTCTTCCGGCAGCGGCGGCGTGACGTCAGCAAGAGGCCCCCCCCAACGCGTTTCGTGCGCACGCACATCTTCAGGGGTATGCCCATTCAATATACACATAACAATCAAATGCACAAACAGAAAAAAAAAAAACAGACAAAAAAAAATTAGCTAAAGTGCCCTAAGCACACTCTCCAAAAATACAGCCTCTAAATGATGAAAAAAAGTACAACTTTTTCTATGAGCAAAATTTCATCTATGCAGTGCAATGAATGCGGTTGAAGGTTTCCTCTTTGGTGAAAGTTTGTCGAAAGCAAAATCTGTAATTTTTTGGCTAAATCATTTTATGCAAGATCCCTACAATTCTTCCTACTGGTCATTCTACCATTGAATACTTTAAACAATTTGTTTGTAATAACTCAGCACAAGAACCTGTCATCCTGCATTGTCCTGCGCTCTTTCCGCTCGCTGGAACTTAGAATGTGACAGCCGCCTTGGAGCCAGTCCAGGATAAACGTTCCCCGACACACTGCCTGCAGGACACAGGTAATTTAACACAGTGCAGTCATCTGGGAGAACTGCTAGAGTTTAGACTTCACTCTGCTGGGGTTATCCTGCACATCTTCCTCTTAATATCAAAAGCAAAATGTTTCTTGTGTTGCAGATTTGCTAATAAAACCATATTAGAATGCCAGCTACTAGATTTGCATATGTATTAGAAAGCTGGTTTAATTACTGACTTCTGAATAGACAAATAGTGTTTGACATTTTCATTGGCAACTCAATTTTGCTGAACAAACAGATGTAATTACAAAGGATGTTTCATTTTTGGAGATTAACCCCTTCCTGGCCAGCCCCAGCATCCCTGTAAATGGGTCTTTTCTTTTTTACAAGGAAGATGGGACTGAATGATTGGTTGTCGCAATAGTCACATGATCAGAAGTTCATTCCGCCAGCTCCTGTTCGCGAATATACACTGTGAGCTGCCTGTGACAGCTTGGTCCATGTGCTGGGAACACTCAGTGACTGTGATCTTAGCACTGAGACTTCGGCCTTCCATGAACTCAGATGCGTGGCACATTGGCGTTAAATCCCACCCTCTTTGCAACCGCACCTATCCATTACGTGGGCAGCGAGAGGTTAACGTATGAAAGGATGCCACTGTGAGAGATATTTTTGGGAGATGACTGAAATAGGATCAGCCAGTCTGTGTAAAATGTCCAATCAGATTTAGGAAATTTTTTTTTCAAGCCGAACTCTAGGAGATGAAATATATATATGGAGGCTGTTTACCTGCCAAATGATATACAGTATATACCTTTATTCATTTCAATGGGCTGCTAAGTATACTGGAACGCTGAAAAAGTAGTGCAGTCACTACGTTTTTCAGATCGCAACGCACCAAACTGCATGGCTCTGCAGTACCATGCAATTTGGTGGCCACAAACGCAGCACATTTGCAAGATGCATTTGGGGCACCATTAACAATTAACTGGCACCTGTGTGTGTCTCACAAATGCAGCACATTGACCTGCGGTTTGTGAAATGCACATGGAATGCGCTTTGTTTGCACCATGTATTGGCAAGACTGGGCCCTTAGCCACTTTCCAGCCACCACCCTATACAGATGTACTGCTACAGGGCCGCAGGGGTGCGCAAAATCATGTATACAGCCGTAATTTTGCATTTCTGGATAGGGGACGCGTGCAAACCGCTATTCGCGGCCTCGGCTGTCAATAGGTGATCGCCGAGCATTATCGATGGGGGGAGAGAGCTGTATCTAAATAATACAGTTCTTTCTCCTGTTGGCTCCTGCACACTGCTTTGTATGGCTCTGCATGGAAATGCAAATATTTTAGTAAATATAAACTGCTAAATACCTTTTCTCAGCAGCATTTACAGCAGTCTTGTGACTTCAGCAGAGCACTGGTTAAAGAATTTTCATTCTCCTCTAGAAGGATGCAGATCCCCTGACCTCTGTCTGGACTGTGCTGATTGGCCCTGTGCTGATCACATGCACTCTCCCAAGAAAAAAAAAAAACCTCTCTAGCAATACACACCAAACTGAGCATGTGCATGTGGCTACGGGTTCAGTCTGTCTTATCAGGTGGACATCTGAACAAGTGGAGGGGCAGAGAAATCAGGATCAAACAGCCTTTATACACAATGCAGAGGATTAACCCCCTAGATTCCACAGTGACTATAACAAGCATGCTTTACTGCATATACAGACTGATTTTACTGCTGTGGGTTTAGTAACACTTTAAAACCACTTGCCTACCAGGCACATATACTCCCTTCCTTACCAGGCCAATTTTCAGCTTTCAGCGCTGTCGCACTTTTAAATGACAATTGCGCAGTCATGCAACATTATACCCATATGAAATTTTTATCATTTTTTTTTCTCACAAATGGAGCGTTCTTTTGGTGGTATTTATTCACGGCTAGGTGTTTTATTTTTTGCGCTATAAACAAAAAAATAGCAGGCACTGATAGGCGGCACTGATGTTGGGTACTGATAATCGGCACTGATAGGCGGCACTGACTGGTTGCACTGCTGGGTGGCACTGACTGGCGGCACTGGTGGGTGACACTGGTGGGCACTGCTGGGCACAGGTGGGTGGCATTACTGGGTGGCACTGCTGGGCACAGGTGGATGGCACTGATGGGCACAGGTGGGTGGCACTGATGGGCACAGGTGGGTGGCACTGCTGGGCACTTGTGAGCAGAACTAGTGAATGGCACTGCTGGGCACCGATCATCAGGGCACTGATCATCAGTGCCCTGATGATCGGTGCCGATCCCTGCTATGACAGCTGCCGGTTATCGGCAGTACTTTCCTCATGCTCTGACAGCGTGAGAAAAGTGCAGCCGAAAACCGGCAATTGCATTTCCCTGTGATCAGCATGTCATTGGACACGGCTGATCACATGGTAAAAGGCCGCTGTGATTGGCCTTTTACAACATCACGTGATCAGCTATGTCCGTAGGACACAGCGATCACAGAGATCGCTGGGTGCGCGCCCCCGGGGGGCACGCAGTAGAGCGCGTTCTGGGAGGACGTCATTCGAGTATCTGCGGTCGGCAACTAGTTAAACGGGCTGAGTGGGAAAGGGTTAATGAGGGAAAGCAGAGGGTGTCCCTCTTTGTCAATGGGGACAGGATCACTGTGAAATTGTTCGGAGTAACTTACAGTCCAGAGGCCTGCTCCAAACAAACATCCAAAAGAGTAATAAATATTTTGTACTATGTTTAGGTTTTCTGTGTGAATAGGAGCACATAAAACAAACGTATAGTGGGGTTTTCTCAAATTTGTTTGCAAAAGTAGAAAATACCCTTTAAGCTCAGGTCTGAGCAAAGCACTACCTTAGTTGGCATTTGAAACAATCATAAGGTTAGCCCACGTAGAAAATTACTTTTAGCATTTAGTCATCTTTCGACGGCATTGCTGAAAACTTGCTTAGCAAGATATTAAACAAAACATTTTGAAACATTACACACTAAACTGACAAGGAAATGAATTTAAAAGCACTTCACAAAACTGATTTTGTTATAAATGTGTGTTTTGAAGAGGAAAATACATCACTTAACTAGAATCAATTGACAAAATGTATTCTGTGCTACAAGGAACATGCAGCAAGCAGAACTACTGAAGAGATCTCATACAAATGTGAGTCGGTGCCTCGGGAATCAGTCTCTGAAATTCTCATTTTGTTTGTAAAACGTTGAAGGGCATGATGAAACTGCAGGGCAGTCGAAAATAGGAAAAGTAGAATTACTAGTTTATATACTGGCAAGACCATATACTTTACTTTGGACTGAAACCATATAAAAGATTGGTCTCTATGTGCATACTTGCTGCAAGTCAGGGGCGGACTGACAACTCATGGGGCCCCTGGGCAATAGAGGATCATGGGGCCCCTGCGTCCTTGCCCAAACTCATAAAAGCCTATGAAAAAGGTACCAGGGGCATCTCATGGGGCCCCCTACTGACCCCGAGCCCTCGGGCAGTGCCCGAGTTTCCAAATGGTCAGTCCACTCCTGCTGCAAGTAATAATTTATATGCTTCTAGAAACATACATTATAAATATACACACATATTTAACAAGGTTTTAAGGCAGGGGTGTCCAACCTGCGACCCAAGATGGCCCAACACAAAATCGTAAACTTACTTAAAAATGTTGATTTTTTTGGGGGGAGGAATGTTTTGTATAAATACATTTATACTTAGCAAACACACATGGCAGACAGATCGCTGAACCAACACAAGTGATCTCCACCGCTGTGTCTTTGTATTCTGACAGGGGGCCCCCTGCCAGAATACACTGATCAGTGCTTGCAGACATTGGCTGCAAGCGTTGATCAGATGCTGGTTTTCCAGCATATTCCTTTGAGAAAAGCTTGTTGTTAGACTGGCTTCTGTCGGATGGAAAGGTGAAAACACTGACTGAAAGTCAGCAAGTTCTTGTTGAACTGGCTGATTTTTGTTGGCTAGTGTGTAGCCATCTTTAGTGGTCATGTGCATGTGGAGTGGTTGCTTCACAGTGAAGTCACAGTAACGACTTGTTATTACTTAACTCCTTCCCGCAGTGCGTACACATATATGCAGCCTCCTGGCGGGTGGGTCGAGAGGCAGCATACATGCGTACCCAGGAAATAGGTGCAGGAACTCCCCCCTTTTGAGTCACCATTGTCTCCACCCCTTACCCACCTCTGAGCACCATTTATGGTTCCACCTCCTACACACCTCCCAATACTGCCCCTTTTAGAGAATACAGAACCAAGTATCATATTGCAGTGCTAAGTAATTTGGAATTTATCAATAATAACAAGAAAAGCAGTAAAATAGATCCCTTGCTGCCAGCAACAACATACCTCACAGCACCAATAGACTCCCAGCAGCAACAATAGATCTCTAAACCAGCAGTCAGCAATAATAGACCCCCCATTCCTTAACAGTAGTTCCCCCCCCAGCAACAAATGACCAGAAACATAAGAACCCCCCAAGCATCAACAGATCTCCCATCAGAAACAATAGACACCCACTAAAAAATAGATCCCCTTCAGCAACAATAGATCACCTAGCAGCAAGTATCAATACCCTCCAGCACACCCGTTTACCCCTTGCCATCACATACATCTACCGCTGGAGGTGTCGGAACTGTGTTCCCCCACGTTCCTGCTGAAAAACAGCCCTGTGCATACTTAAATATAAACGGAACTGTGCAGAGAGCACGCTCTGTGTGCGCTTCTGGCACAGTTACGTGCGGCTAATGGAGAGCCCCCACTCTCTAATTGAGATCGTTAGCTTTCTGATCATGTGACCACTGTGACAGTCAATCACAGCGGTCACATGATCAGACCCCTTGCCCCCAGTGGTTTATTTAGGCTTTGTGATGCCCTAGGCAACACATAACTTGGATGCCCCCACCTCTCTCTGGTGGAGAGAGCCTGACAGTGACCAACAAAACCCCTACCCTATCACGCCACCTGAGAGAGCCTTCCACTAACAACCCCCCCCCCGGCAACTCTGGCCGTCCCCAGGAACAACAGTTGGGCTCTGCATACACCAGATCAGAGCATGTAATCATGTATGGTTTAGGATGTTACCTCCTCTGTAGCCAGTGGAGGAGTTGTTGATTGCTTTAGTCTGCTCATTGTTTCACAGGCTGCTGGTCTCATTATTTCCCCCTACATTCTAGAGGGTTCTAGAATCACAGTGGGAGTTAAAACAGAAGAGCAGTCTGAATATATATGGGGACCCTGCAAACTCCTGAGGATGTGTGCCCAGTAGGTGGCTGAAGAGCTGATAAATTGTCTGTGGCCTGGAGCAGGAGTGATTGGGTCCTGGGTTCAGTCCTACAAGAAGAGCCCCCACTCTAAGGGGGCTCTGCCCCTAAGGGCAGTCTGAAGGAATGTTGCTTGAGTGTCAATAAGGTCCCAGCTGCGGTGTAGCTGGAGGCCTATTTCAAAATCTGGTCTGGGATTTTGGTCTGGAGAGCTCAATGAAGAGTACCCGGTGGAAGATGGAGCGTGTCCAGCTGTTCTGTGGTATTGTGAGTTTGTTTGCTTCCTTACTGAAGAGTGGCCTTTAGATATCGGAAGGAGACAACCAATGGTCCTGTAGTATTTTGAGTATTGACCTGAATCCAGAACCATGGTGACTGTGTGTAAGTCTCTGTTCTTCAAAGAGGCACTAGTTACTCTTGAACTCTGTCTCATCTGCTTGTTCTGTTTTGTGATACAGTAATGGATCAGTGAGAGAAAATATCTTCCACTGCAATTTTGGGGTATCTCATGTTCCCCTCACGCCATCCAAATTTAAACTGCTAAAAGCATTAAAGACACTCCCTAGACTGTTACTGAGCGAGAAAGAGAGAGAGAGAAAATGCTGTGTTTCTGGCTGTATTAGCACTCAAATTGGGGAATTAATCAGTTTATCTTCAGTGACTCCTCCAGGGGTGTGCATTAGTTTTCTTTATGTTTGGCTTTCTTTCTTGCATTTTCATCTGGTGATCCAGCCAGTTACAGGAATTTGACAAACCATTTAACACTGACAGGGATGCTTACAATGATCAGATTTTATCTATGTAAAACCTTTATGCCAAAAGAAAAAAAATAGGCAGTTACAGCAAAAAAAGTGTTAGCTGCCGTTTTGCTTCAATTTGTCAGTGTATCTAAATCTGCTAGAACATCTAACACTCCCCTCCTCCCAGACTGACAATGCTGCTGTCCAAAGCTACCCCTGTGCTCCTTCATCCAGAGTGGGGGGTACTCTAATACAGGAGATGTGTTCCTGGCCAGATAACCAGGTGAAACATAAGGAAAAATGCTTAAAAAAAAAGAAAACAAATGCAGCCACTAAATCTAATGATTGGTAAGCTGCAATATATTACATTTTTCGTTTGGGGTTTAATCACACTTTAAAAATCAAATTTTAAAAAAATCATTTTTATTCATTTGTATGAAAGCTTAGATTTTAGGTTCACTATTTCACAGTTGCGACTTCCCCTATTCCTCAGGAGCAATTCAAAGTCATTGCTTCCCTAAATACCACCAAAGATCACTTCAATTTTGCCTTCTCAATTGACTCCATTGCATTTACTGGAGCTGAAATAACAAATTTAGTCAAAATTGTCTTCTTCTGAAATGTCAAAGCAAAAATATTAAATTTTGCTCATTCTTACTGGGAAACACATTGTGCATATGTAACAAGCAAATATGGATGCCCAGAGGTACATATTATAGAATCACAGGTGAAGATGAAATAAAAATATAGGGGCGCAGTATTACCTTCAGATTTGAACTGTATTCCTGTCTATGGTGTCCTGAAACTCACACAGCAGAGCCAGGTTGGTGACCTGACTTTTCTTTACTGCAGTTGAGTAATACAGTGCGGTCACCTGACCACAGTCTGTGATTGTACAGTTATTGATGAGGTCATCTCTCTGCTCCCTTTTGCCCTGTGGTCTGTTAGCAGATGTGTATGCAGCAGAACCTGATCAACCCTAATGCTGATCCTCCATCTCCAAGTTTTACTGGTCAGGGGATGTCAAGAGACTGATATCAATAGCTAACTAGGTACTAGCTGCATCTAAAAGTGTATTTGATTATGTTATCATGAACAAGCTGATATGCCTGTACAATTATAATAATTTATTATGGCCATTAAGATTCTTGTATAAGTCCAGTTATGATTGGTTCTCTTTAAATATTGTAGTGCTACCCCCGTAGGACCCGGAATCTGGGTTCTCTGTTCTGTGCCTTAATTGCACTTATAAGAATATGAGTATAGATTTCTTTAACTTGAAAATAGACACAAGACTGTGTAGTGGGAAATGAACTCAATGTATTGACACAGGTTAGAATAAATAGTGGTCTCAGCATAA